AGATTTCACACCTATTGCGAGGTAAGGGGAGGGGGAGCTGTCAAAAAAAAATCTTTTCACAATGAGGGGAGTTGATGCAAACATTTTATTTGCTAAACAAGTTGGGTCGGTTGGGCTTGAATGATGCTCAGTCTTTTCATCCTTCGGCAGAACCTTTTCTTTTTTTAAAATGTCCATCTTATAATCATAAAGAAAAGTCCGAGTTACTTAACATAATAGTTCAGCCTAGTTTTTGCTGACGATTACTGGATGAGCTCTGTGATTGACTGGCGACCGGTTCAGGGTGTCCCCCACCTACTGCCCGAAGACAGCTGGGTTGGGCGCGAGCATGCCCCGCGACACTTGTGAGGATAAAGCGGATCAGAAAATGGATGGATGGATTATTGAATGCCAAATCCTCTATGATCCTGCTTTTTACGCCTTCACAAAAGCGCCCTAAATGCTATCAAAACATGCTTAGGGAGTATGGAAATAGGGTCTTTCTTTATTGCGGATTTTACTGATTTGGGATTTACAATATTTGTGTCTTTTTTTTTGTTTAATGATATTACTGGAGTACTTGAATTAAGTGTTTTGTAGAATAGTCTTACGAATACGGTTTGCTTTTCCCTTCTGTATTTTGCACGCAGTTCTACAACACCTCAAATTTGCCTAGAGCATTATAATTGTTGCTGGTGAAAATATGAATAACAATAATTTCTGTCATTAACCCCCCCCCCAGACCCCTCCCTCGCCAGCTCGGAGCAAGCAGCTCACTTGCATGCTAATTGGGGAGTGACTTTGGTATCTCATAAGACCGGTCATGTTTTTTTTTTTTTTTTTGCACCTACAGTAAGAGCTAAGTGATTTTTTTACAAACGATTGCAAAGACCAGCCAAGGATGGGAAAACATGGTCGGGGAGCTTGAAAATGCCACTTTGCCGCCCCCGGGAGAGGCTGGCGTGACTCCGCAGAGAGGTCGCCTCGCATGAGGGGCGCAGAGGCGTCAGGTGTCAAGAAGCCAGGCGAGACTGAGCCGACACCAGATGCCACCCCGCCTCATGGCCGATGTGAGAGGAAAGGCGATGTGGCAAGTGTCTGGCTGGCTGGCTGCCCCCCCTCCCAACCCCACCCCTCCTCACCCAAGGGGGCGAGGAGTCCGTCCATCCAAACGTGAGGCGACGTGAGCGTCGTGAGGACAAAAAGGGCGAAGAAAGAAAGACATGGGAGGATGATGTCATGCTAATCTTTAGGGTTAAGCACTTGAAATTGTCAGGGTCTGAGTCAAAGTCCGCCAAGGGAAAAACATGACTTTCTTAAGCCTGATGCATTGTGGGACATCGAGTCACCTTGACGAGGATTAGGTGCGTAGAAGCAATGAATGAAAATTGAGGAGGGTACGCAAAGGGGACGTGATGGAGCTGAAAAGTCGGAAGGGAGCTCATCTCTACAAATCAACCTCCTGCAAGAACAATGTTTTTTGTTTTTTGTTCTTGTTTAACCGGCATTCGTCCACATTTTCATCTGCAATGTCGACCTGACAGCAGACAGCAAAGGCAAATTCTAATGCATACCGACAAAGTGTACCGTGTGATTACAGCCACCTAATATATGACATTGCAGCATAGCCGATGAATAAAGGAATACAGCAACCCCCCCTCCCCCATCGCATGGTTTATATTCCAGACCACGCCAGCAATGGGTGAAATCCCCCATATAGAAATATCCCTATTTAATAATAACAGAGAATATATAATACACGGCATCGACAGCACATACGCTTTACGGTCTTGAAAGACACATTTCCAATCATGCAAAAACATTTGAACATTTTTTTGAGAGAGGGGAAGGGCGATGGATCACGCAGTTGGAGAGTGCGCCGATCCCTCTGTGTTTTCATTCAACAATTTTGTTTTTCTTTTCACGCACAAACTTAAGTTCATCTCACAACATCGACCAGGGGTGCCCAACGGGTCGTTCGCAAGCGACCAGTGTGTGTCTCGCTAAGGTGGTGTTGGTCGATCAATATGGCATTAACCTACTGTCAACCTCACCGTTTTTTATATACCTGTCGATCAACGGCAGTAAAAAAAAAAAAAAAAAAAAAAAAAAAAAAAACTGATATCACCGTTAGCTTACTGGTAGCTTTATTTGTGATCAAATTGCTGATTGGCTTTAAGACGATCGTGCTTCTGTGTTTATGCTGCTAAATGAGCGAGAGCGGGTGGGAGGGTTGCAGAGTGGGTGTGGCTTCATGTACATTCGTCCAAATGTGGGGTCACAATTCCGAACAGCTCGCTTCCATCGAACAAATGGGCAGCAGACAAAGAACGTAACTTGGACAAGTCGTTTGACATGTGCTAGACAGGCAGGCCCTCCAGAGAGCCGACTGTTTGTGCGCAAGTAATTAAAAAGTCACTTTTCCATGACATGTCCCCTTTCAAGGCTGTCACCTGTAATTAATTTGAGATAAGCTATCCGGCAACTTTTTCCTTCCCCTGCTCGAGGCATCATCAACATTATTGCTGTTCTTCAGTTAAAAAAAATAAATAAATAAATTCTCACCCCGGAGAGCCCCCCCCCCCAAACACGTCCACCCAAGTGGGCTCTCTGACAACAGGTATGAATAAAATTCAGATGCGTTATCAAAGCTGCGAGCCCGTCGAATGAGTCGACGTATTCGCGGGAGTGTTTGGGAGCTGGCGCCCCTGAACGTGACGCGGGGGCTTATTAGCCGGGATGCCGCCGTATGAATTATAAGTGGGAAGATAAAGAACGTAAACGGGGCAGATTAAACACAACTTTGGGGGAGAAAGAAGAAGAGGAAGAAAAAAAAAAAAAAAGAGACTTTGAGCTCTCTGTGAGCAAAAGTGAAATCTGTGTAAGTGCAAGCAAAACCCCAAGACGGGTCATGAATAAAAGTAGTACGTGTGTTCACACACTGAGTGATGTTTTCATAGGAGACTTCACTTTGATAATTATGGCCGAGTATTCACAAGTCGGATTTTTTGACGGACTTCTCCCCCGACCCCCCCTCAACGGGCTACTTTATCGACACGACAAAGGCAAAGAAACTACAAACACGGCTGTAGGCATATTGGACACTTTTTGTGTCGAGTGCCTTGACAAGTTCAGTGCTTAAAAAGTGCAGCCCATGTGTTCGCCTGTCATTGCTTCACGACACGTGAAAAGTTGAAAGGATAAAGCCGCAGATTCGTTTGCATCATCGGAATTTGATTTATGACGTGCAGACACGTTTACGCCGCGCTCGTTTTGGGAGAATTTTGTGAAGCCGTCGTGGCGAAGGCTCAAAAGACTGCAAGTCAGTCTTTCGTAATTGAAGGAGACAGATAAACTGTCTTCCGTATTAATTAGCGGTTCATTTGCCTTATTTTAGCAGAAGCCAAACCTTTGAGACCAAAACTTTCATGGATAATAAATCTTATGTTTTACATAATGTAGTAGAAAGTCATTTATTAAGAAATATCAGTAAAGAGGACCTACAAAAAAATGGACCGCATATTAAATCGCCATCGTAATATTGAGAGCACGTTTAGATTACGTTTGAATATCGTTCAGCCCCACACGTGAACGTCATTTTTCAAAGTGTGCGGCGTGATATTTTCCCGTTTATTCATGAAAGCGAATCCTTTGGAGCCTTGCGAGAACCGGCTCCGGGACGGGATGGATTCCATCAAAATGTCACATCGGAGAGACGTGCGTGTGACACATGCATAATGCTACATGTATGCTAATATGTCTCCAGCTATTTGGGTCCCAACATAAGTCGGGACACATATTGCACGCTTGTCTTGCAATACTGCCGCACCCCTGACAGAATCTGTCAGGCTGATTCTGCGCGGGGCTCCTGAGATGAAAGTCGACGATGAATACGCATCAAAAGCAATAAAAAGAAATGGGAACAGATGCCTGAGAGCTTGTCTGTGGGAATGTGTGTTTGTGTGTGTGTGTGTGTGTGTGTGTGTGTGTGTGTGTGGCCACAGTCGCCTCTTGTACCTGCAAACAGCTACTGGTACATTGGTACCTTGACTTAAGCGTTGAATTTGTTCAGCGACCAAACTCTGAACTCAATTTACGCGGGTGTCGAATCACTTTTCCCCACTGAAATTATTTGAAATTCCATTTTTCTGTTCCGGCTCAGCAAAATCTGCCACCGATTTTCCTTTGAATATATAAGTTCAACGTTCATGCAAAGTTCACGCATCGGTGCAGTGTTTATCTTGCAAGAAACGGTTATTTTTGCAATTTAAGTCAACTTTTTTTCTGTTGTTATTTAGTAGGTAAGCGTCGTTTAGATACTTGAGGCAGGAAAGTTCTGCTTGAAATGCAATCCCTTTCACAATTGTTTTTTTCTAGGAAACAAGTATTTTCAAGAATCTTACCAATATTCAACTGCTGTCGACTAAAGGTTGGTAAAAGGAAGAATTTTGTTTTTCTGATGAAAGAAGAGGGTGAAAGCTTTCTTTTGCTTGGTTCCATGCTTATTTAGCGAGAAAACTCCACTTGAGAAAAAACGAGGGGCAGTAAATGAGTGCAAGGAGAGCATTATTTGTAACAAAACACCAGATTTTTTTTTTTTGTGGAGCAAATGCTGACTATGACCCGTTGACATCGCCAAACGTTTGCGTTGTTCTTCTCTCTCGACTTCTCATTCTACTCCAGAGCAGGTAAAATGCATGCCCGATCTGACTGAAGTTTGGGAAGCGACATGCCACTTTTGTTTTGATGTTGACGACGAGTGTCAACGCTGTTTACACATAAAAACGATTCTCAAACGGAGGACTCGTTTCCTGAGGTGGTATATCACTTGTCGGGGATAAATTGCATGTTCTATGGGGTTTAAGTTTGGGTATTGCCTGAAATAGCCTTTTCCAACACTTTTGCTCATCTGAGCAAAAGTTTTGTTCCAAATATTTATTTCAGATGTGCATCCTGCTCTGAATGCCAATCTCCCAAAAGCAAAGTTGAACTGCTGCTCTTTTGCCTCCCTCCCCTCCTACCTGGTGGATGAACACCTGCGCTCCCCGGGGGCTCATGAGCAGCACGGCCCGCCGCAGAGTGTCCCGGTAGCGGTTGAGTTCCTCGGTGCGCAGCGTGTTGAAGAGATCGTTGAAGACCCGGCTCACGTTGCGATCCACCCGCTGCAGGGACACGTCCAGACCGAGTCGAGACGCCTGGTCCATGAAGGTCTGCAAGCCACGGATATCTGATGGCGAGAGACGAGAAGGATCTTTACGATATGTTCCTGGCCATGATTGCCGTGGATGGCCGGACGGGTTTTGAAATTGTAAACGTACGGCTACGATCACTCCTTCGAACTTCAACAGAACATTACGCGTCTTTCCCGAAGTACGATGACATCACGCGAACCAGGAAGTAGCCTGCTAACTAACAAGCCGACGAACGAAGACAAACGGTGCTCGACTGATTTCGCGACCTTGGCGAAGCGGTCAGCTGCCCGCACTGTAACCGGATGACATTGCGGTTGCGAGCGCTTGCACAATACAGCGCCGCATAATCAGCATTTCATGTGCATCATGAGCCCCTCTTCTCCATTTTGACAAGGCTCCTCCATCCCTCCTCCATCTCGTCAGGCCCGGCCGGCTTCTCTTACTCATTAAATGTCATTTATTGTCATTTTCAGAAGTAAATCGAAAAGCGAGAGAAAGTGAAGGCGTGATTTCAGGGGTCGGCAAATAAATCCTCGCCGCCGCTCTCCGTGGCGATGGCGTCCCGGCAGCGATGCGATTAAAATTTCAGTAAGAAATGCAAATTTCACCCTCCCGCAACGGCTTCTCTTTCATCTCTTTTTTGGGAGGGTAGTTTGCTATGCCTCCTGAAATATGAGAAGATGCCACTCTAAAAGCAAATAATATTAAAATGAAATGTAAACTGTGCATAATGAATCACGCTATTAGACACCTTTGCACAGTTGACTGTATTTTTAGGAGCGGCGCCAAAGCCCTCCAAGGCACATTTCCCTCTCAAAACCAAAGTGCGATGGAACACAACGAGTGTTCCTGTCTTTGCGCTCGCTCCGGTTTAGCAGGAGATGAGACTTGAGGCGGTAATCGAGTTCTCGGGGGACCATGTTACATGAATAATGTATTTTTATTAAATGATATTGTGCCTAATTACACTCTTTATAATCCTTTCTGGGTAAATTTAATGGTAAGCAATACTGTCTGATTTTCTGAGGAGTATTTATGAGGCAAAAGAGACATTATTTGGACAGTTTAAAACAGCTTCAGATTTTAATAAAGGGTCCCTGAGCTGCTTTTTAAAAAAATGAATAAATAAAAAATAAGGAACTACAGCGCAGTTAATATCCACTCGAGGGTAGAGATCACGATGATAGAAAAGAAGAAAAAAAAGCGAGTGCTGATAAAAACGTGACTGTGTTCCCACTGCGGGGCAGAACAGTTATCACTCGGCAGCCAAATTGTACTTTTCAATTGTGTGGCGGATCTGCGTATGTGGCGCATGCAGAAGACACATCAGAAATTGGATCCCCACAACCCTGAAAAGGATGACTTTGACAAACATTCAACTGTGGGATGACTATCAGAAGTTAAGATTGCTAACACTGTTAGCCAACACCAATTTAACTCATTTTGGACATTAAGCCTTCATACAAAGTTCAGAATGGCAGATTACAAAATATTTAGTTTGTTGGTCAACTTCACGCTGAGTAGATGAATACATGATCTCGAGACTTTGAGATAACGAACCCGTTCAGTGACTATGCTAGTATGCTATAATTGCTAACGAGACACGTTTACCGAAAAACAAACAATCAAAAAACAACAGCACAAAATCTTTCACTACTTCTCGCCTGTGTTTTTGAACGACACCGCTTTATCTTACTGCACATATGCAGAATTTCAAATAGCCATAAGTCTTGACCGAGATCTCCACAGGAGGAGCCATCGCTGGTGGGAGAAGTCGAACAGCGCGACAGATGATAAGCGCTAGCTAGCTTGCTGGAAAGGATGCAGCTGGTCCCAACCAGCGAAGACTTGCAGCACAGACAGCAAACCAATTTGGGTTCTGCCTCTGGCTGGGGCAGGGTGAGGCATCTTGGTTAAAATAAGCCGTTTTAAAGTAAAAAAGAAAAAAAAAAAGTCCAGAGGAAGAAGTGGCAGCCAAAATGCGCCAGTGTACTCTCATTCCAGTTCAACTGATAGTTCGCCAATAATCAAATTGGATTTTCATTTGTTGGACGATGACGTCCTTATTTTGGAATGGCACAAGGTATTGATTGTGATTCGGAAGTCATTTGTTACTGTCACGATGGATAACGAGTGTTGATTTGGAGGGCTAGTCCGAGCAACAGTAATGACATCGGAACGTCAAGAAAATTTGAGATGAATTCATTGCAGTACTTCTGTCTTTCATAAACTCTTGCTGAGCAAGTCCCGTGTCTTAAAAAATTTGACTCAACTGCCTCATATCTGACGAATCCTGCCTTGTAGTAGCACAAACATGCAACAAGGCAAAAAAAGCACTGTATCACAAATACAAAGTGCCCACATGAATATGATCACTGAAAAGTCAATAAAAACAGCGGGAGTGCGCCGGCGCTAATTGAGTTGATGCGAGGGGATGCAAATGATCTTCAAATTAGTTTTTTTGACCTGGCCCCGGCGCCGAAGCGGCATCGTGGTGCGGTCATTGCCACCGGGCTAACCGCACCGGAGGCGAAACTCAAACAAAAGGGAACTCTAACCAAGCAACCTATCAAAGTGAAGCATCTTTGCAGAAAGGTGCTATGCACACTTTTGGTGTATTCCATATTATATTTCCGCAGGCGGAAATAGTAACGCTAGCTGCTGGACAAAACTCTTCAATGTGCAGAACAAAACCTGAAATTAAATCATTTGTCAACTCCGAAAGCAGTGCCAAGCTCTATAAATGGAAGTGGCCACACGCCAAGGCGCTACTTTGAATTGAACAGACGCTAGCCTGGCCATTTTTTTTTTTGACAGAGCACAAATATGATTTGTAATCTAAACGCCAATCCGTCTGGCCCCCACGAGGTGACTGAAATTAATAGATTTTGGCAGCAAAATTATTCATCAAAGTAATACATCGTGATAGCCACAGCATGGCTCCTGGTTTCAGTAAAAAAAAAATAAAATACACAAAGGCCACACAGTGTAAAGTTGAATGGGATGTGACGAACTACCACTAAGCCTATATTGTTTTTCTAAACGGCCACATTGCCAAATTTTACAAGTGCTCCTTCAGTGTTATGACCCCCCCGTTGCGCAAGTGCAGGGAGGCACTGGTTTTATGAGTGTCGATATTTAGTTGACCGCATTTCAGTCTCTATAAATATGCTAGTTAGCGTGTATTATAGGCTACGAAGGCAACCAAAAATGCTGAGGGTCAGATTGTTTTTAAAAATCAAGTTTCCAAGAAATAGTGCCTGCAGTCCGATGGTGTACGCGCGTGTGCGTGTTTGTGTGTGTTTCTAAGTGTTGCGTGATATCTGGAAAGCCTGCAAGCTTTTCCTTTCTTCCCTGGCAGGAGCCTCGTAGATCTGGAAATCTTAAGTGAGCCAGTGAAGCGACCATCGTCGTAATCCAGTCAACCCTTGAGCACAGCAGGTGCCGCAACATCGAACACCCAACTCTCTCATCCTTAGCTTTAATAAGGAGAGATTTTGTTAGGACGTTTTTTTTTTTTTTTTATCTATCAGTGTGCAGCGGCGAGAGCGTGTAGCTACCCTAACACATTTCCCCGGCGCTGGTCTCACTGGAGCCGAAGCGCTAGCGGGGGGGCCTCCCTCATGGACTGCAGTGGTGCAGCAACGAGCGTATCATGATGAAAGGGCTCAGAGGTTTTTACCGAGCTGTCAAGCTGCGTCGCAATCCGAGCGGAAAAGCCTGAGACGTGGCGACGCTTTAAGCCCATGTTTACTCAACACAGAGATGAGTCTGTTTAAGTGAACACAGAGACTCTTACGATGATAATGCCACGTTCTCCCGCGCACTACGCCGGAAATCTATTCTTAAAACTCAACTATGGAAGTGTCTGGGTGGGATATGAGCACAATTCTAAGACCGGACCGCATATGCTGTGATCCCGACTCGAATTTTGAATGAGATACCTTGTGGGGATGCGCTGTCTCAAGCAAATGAGTGACTGCTCACCTCGGGGTTGGATGTTTGTTTTGCACCAAGCGTAAAAAAAGAAGGGGGGGGAAATGAAGCGCACATGAGCGCTCACAAGGATAAATAATAAATAAATACCAGTGGACGAGCTGGTATGTTTCTGGTCCACCCACTGTATACCCTGAGAGTAATTGATCTTGAGTGCATGAACATGGCTGCAGATTCGCCTGCAGAATCTTCTGGTCGAGAAATTCATTGCTTCATTCATCAAAGAAAGTTGTCCAGGTCATGAAGGAGCAAGTAGCCCCAACACCCTGCTACCAACAGTGGGCATGAAAATTTTTCTTCAATCAAATGAGTGTTAGTTTGTATTTTTATGACCAATGTATTGGCGGTGGGTGCAAGCTCTCAAAATGGTTCAACGCTTGCCCTGTTGGTCTACAAATTCACACTGGACAAGATTGGTTGGAATTTCTTTGCCCTTAATAAAATCCCGTCATCAATGAGAAACTGCATTTTGTATCACTGCTGTTTATGCAGAACAGAACGTGACAAACTGAGTACTTTATCCACATCCACACCAACATGAAATGCACAACAACCATGACCCAACATCAACCCAAGTGTTGTGCGTTCCCTTGTTTGACCAAAAACGTTCATGTCCAGTCATGGGAAGAATTATTCGAGCATCCTTGTTTCTTCACTTTCTTGTTCATTTGAAAGGCTTGGTACGTTTGCTGGTTCAATATACTTAATCTACCATTGTGTCAAGGAAAAATAATAAAAAGGAGAAAAAGAACAAGGCTAGGAGACAATGTGGCAGGTTATTTAAAAAAAAATGCATAATTTTGTTTTGCAAGCTTTGTGTGAAAACTTTAAAATGCTTTTTGCCAATGTTGTTCCCCTGAGAAAACAGATTAAAACTTCACCACCGAAAGAGGTAACGAATCAATAGAACAATCAACAAGCATAATCGACGAAAACGACTTGCCTCTTATCGTTTTGAATTTTGTACCTTAGTCACACTCAAGTGGTTGCCTCTATGATGTTTCCTCAAATATCTTATTTCTGTGAGAATACTACTGAA